GCAAGAACCGGGTAACTCCATTTCAACCCGAAATTGGGTTATTGTATTTTACATATAGAATTTTTTCTTACGCATCTTTTGGTGCAAGAATCAAGCGAAACCAACCATTTTTTATTAAGTTTACACGGGAAAGGATTTTCCTGATGAGCCATTCAGGTGCAAGAGTCGGGCAACTCCAGGAGTTACCCGATTTTAGCACCGAAATGTACGCGTTCAGTAGGAGATGTCGGAGTGAGATTATTAGCGGCAAGCCTTTCCGCGTCTTCCATCGTGTGTGGCGTGATTAGTTTGATCATTTGTTTCATGCAATGCAATGTAATGTCGTCGGAAAGTGAAAGTGAGCCCTCTTAAGACTCGGGAAGTGAATATGTTCTGAAAACATAACTGTTGATGAAGTGGACCCAAATACTGGCAATGATTTCACGAAGATCACGACGCAGGAAACGTCAGCGATTCTTCCTATGTTCAAAATACTATTTTTTTACAATATTTTTCGTTATATATATTTTTTTTTTCGATAGAAAGGCGGAATTATTACACGAGTTCGACTATATTTTCAGAATTTTGTCTTTTTAGAACAAGAAACAGGCAACTCCATTTTTTCAAACTTCTACAATATGAATGAAAACTACTATCCAAGTTGATACAGCTGATCTAACGTGACTCTGAATGATCCATACCATTTATCATAATTTTTTTTAAGTTTTTCAAAAATATTGAGTTTTTTCCCATTCCCCAACATTTCGAAAAATTTGAGTTGCCCGGTTATTGCATCGAGGTCTTAAATTTCAGATTTCAAGACAAGAAATTTGACGTCAATACCAAGATTTCTTGTCAAAAAAATAGTAAATCTTGACTGATATATTTTTGATTCATCCCGCTCGGTATACGGTCTCGTCTCTATTACTACAACTTTGAATATTTGAGGAGTACCCAACTTGGATAACATCCCAATTATTGTCATGGAACTCTGATGTAACTTTCCATATATAGGTTATGCCGATTCCTCTCATTCTCTCCATTTGATTAATGACTCATATCATTTCTTCCAGTCGCGTATTTCAGCCTTGGCTTATTTTCAATGCAATAATGAACGAAATTAAAGAATAATTTGATTTTATATGGAAAATGTTCTTTTGGTCATTTGAATACCCCATCAATTAAATACCTCAGTATGTGTTCTTATGACTAATTTTGTCTGCAGAATTGATTGTTCCTAATATCTCCTATGGGTTGAAACAATTAGCAACAAGATTTTCATTTGATTCTTGTTCGGAGGAAGACTTTCAATTTTCCTCTCATGTTCTATTAGTAGGTATCAATGTCACCTCCAATGTAAGCAAATACTATATTGTTGAGTTCCTTCTCGAAAATCCCAAACTCGCTTTTGTTAGTCAGAGGAAAGACGCTTAGTATGACTGAGAGCGTTACAGTAAATGAAGGACCATCAGAAGCTAGTTGAGCTATATAACTCCGAGTGGAGATTGAGGCAGATTTGTTTCATTTCAAATATCAATGAGACGAAACACCACTTCAGAACACTCTATTTATTGTAGTAACACTGTACAATAGTTGCAGGGAAGTCAATGATATACAATATAAGCAGGGACATGATTTGAGCAAATGCAATCTCAAGTGACATATTTTAATTGATTCTCTCTACCTAGTCGTTTCTCAACTCCATATGGATGCCGCAAATATAAATTATGGGCCTACTTTGAAATCAGTGGCTTGAAAAATACAACAGGATCTGAGTGATCTGAGTTGATTGTATGACCAAGTTCAAACAGTGTTTTAACAACTATACTACCAAAGATTTCAAACCCATCACTCGTCTCCGCTAGGAATAGTTCAGTGCTGAATCCCAAATCCTAGTAAGAAACTATTCCCAATACTATCGAGACACCGCATCGGCTTTCATCAGATTCCGTGTCTTGGCACTGTTGGTGTATCCGGCATCCCCAATATGGTGAAGTTGAGCGATTCAAAGAGCGACCCACGTATGGTCAGCAGGGTTAGCCGAACCCGAGGCAGTTAGCACACTTGGATGCGGAATGCCGCCGCCGCTACCGCCGCCGGTAAAGCTCGTGGTCACACCGACTAACCAAGTTCTGTTGGCTGGCAGGGGCGTATCATGGATGAGGCTGAAGGCATATACCTGATGAACCTATATAGATAACAAGGAACTCTATAAGTGAAGAAGAAATAAAATCAATGACAGTCTGCAAGCAAAACTGTTTGATACCGCATGCGTCATCTGAAAATAAGAAAATACATCAGTCCGCAGAATTTCTTCCAGCAAGAGATTGCTTTGTAATGAACATATGATTATCATTAAAACTTTAGTGAAATGTACGACATAACCTAAAATTCAATGATTTCAATGTTGATATTCATTCCACTTTTCAATCTGATTGTGCTGAACCGGCAGCCTCAAAGACATGACCGATACTTCGCTGGAATTCATATTCGCAAAGTTTTGGTGGTTTCGATGAAAGAAACAGCTTCAATTCACGAGTTTGCTGAAGTTTTTTGTCTCACAATACCCCGAATAATAGCCAGAGAGTGCGCAAGAGATATTAGGAAGATACAAATTTACAGCTCCACAAGAGATGCGAAATAATATGTAGTGTGGCAGAACATATGAAAAATTCGGAAGCACATTTCCAAGTATATATTTGTCTGCAGGAGACACTTCTGGAAACAGATAATGAAGGTGATTTCTCTCATGTCGAGAGAATATATTTCCACTGTTCTAGGAGATTAGAGTCACTGGATGGTATTAGTTTGATAAGAGTTCGGACACAGCTGAACTTTTGTCCTTTTCTATTTTCTATAATACAATGGTTTAGGTGAATAAAAGAATAAGACATATATTCGGCTCTTTGTCTTTTCAATTTCCCTAGTAGTGCCTGATTGTCAGATACGATTTTAGAGGTTATATTTTCTGTCAAATCAATCATAGCCGTAGATGGACAATGGGTATAGGGTACAAACACCCAATTCAATTTATAGTAATTAATACACTTCTAACAGAACAACTGTTATATAAATGAAAAGAATGCATGTAACAACATTTTAATATTAGAAAATATACACATATGGATGAACTTTAATAGCTATAATTTCTTATTATATGTGGAACTGTACTCCAGTGAAGAGTATAAAACATGATAGATAGATATTCTCAATATACAGGAAGTAACATAAGTACTTTCAAGTGAAGTATTCCTGAGACAATTATAAGAAATAAAGTCTATATAAGCTTTTGTGTCCGGAAATGCATCATTTCGTAGATACAGAGTGCTGAAATACAAAGAACAAATCATTTTTCGATAAACATTTGATAGGAAAAAAGTAGTTTATTTTGACGAGGCTTACCAAATACTTGGTTTTGTAAAGTTCTCAGCAACTCCACTTAGCGCCCTAGGAGCTAATAAGTAACATGGATCGATATAGAAAATATCTCCAAAACATTATAACCTCCAGCGTGATTAAGGCCCTTATAATAATTCCCTTGATACATAAATAACTATTCACTGTCCAATGTTGAATTTTAAATTTGGTCGGCACCAAAAACGCCATTCAATATATCACTCTGTAGTTTACTTGCTTTTTCGTTTTCAAATTCTCAATTTCATTATGTAATTTTGCGATCATTTCCTCTTTTCCATGATCATTTCGTTTTGTATTTTGTGTGATGATAATAATGGAAATTTGTTCTCGAAATCGCCTGCTTTGTAAATTGATGGAACAGCAGATTCTCACAAACAGAATTTGAAATCTTCTGTTTGAAGATGGGCCTAAAATATAGTTTCATTCTAATCAGATGCTGTTATAAAAAGTGAATATTAATGAGTACCTCACAAATTTTGCTCGTCTTCAAATTGATTTTGCACCCATCAGGCCATTTCATATCTTCCTTCCATAAGCGAATTGTTGATATTTGTTTCGTTTGAATAAATGATATCCATTTTCTTCAGAATTGGCACAATTTATTACACAGCAAGTAATTTCCATAGCTGCTTCCATCTCGAATGTATAATTATAAATTTTATTTCAATTCTGACGTTTATAAAATGTATTGTCAAATTCAAACAATTTTGAATGAAAAAGCGCGGGACGACTATGGTGCTCTTGTCACAATGCAAGGTGTGAAACTTAATAAATCTAAACACTCAAAAACCCTAACCGTTGTCATTTCTGTGTCCGAACTCTTATCAAACTAATAACATCCAGTGACTCTACTAGGAGATGTGCTTCTTCATCAAGGTTTGTAGAACCATCTGCCCAAAGATCTCAAGTTTTTGTATACATTACACCTGAACAAAATGACATAATTTCTAGCTTTGGGGGCTGTCATTTCATTGCACTGACAGCTTTCACGTACTTTGCCATAAATCGGGAAAAATATCAGAGGCATCGGTCAGAAACTTCAACAACAACAAACTAACCTCAAATGAATATGGACTATGGAAAACGATTGAACTACTCCTGGTTTCATATAACAAATTACAATGTATGCTCTCGAACAACCTATCAAATGACGTAATTATGGAATGAATAGTTCACTTCTATCCTTTTCGAAGGCAGAACGTAGATTAATTAATTGCAGGTATGGATTGGTTCGACTGTATAGTCGAAAGCGCTCTACTACGAAAAATTTTAAATAAATTAATTTGTACGAAATACATGTATTCAGTTATGCCTTGATAGAACTGGCTACAAATATCCTCGTTATCAAATTCCTGATACTCATTTTTGAAATTACAACTCCTTCAGCAAACAATTAATAATCTCAGATTTGCTTTGTTGTACATTTTCAAAGAGAGCTCAAAGAGAATCTTTATCTCTCAAAAACGGTCCAAACTTCAAATCAAGAAATTGTTGCGGTCTGAAACTGCAATCACTGTCTAACGAAATGTTCTTCATTGGATTTTTGGCAATACTCAATAGCCACCCGTTTTTTCAACTGATTTAAAAAACAATATTTTTTGCAGGGAAGAGTTTCACCTTAACGATAATGGTTTCAACGAGTCCGCCCCAAGTAGCGACCTACAATAAAGCTATCAAAGTTACTGTTGACGGTCCTCGTGAGCCTAGGTCCAAAACAAGTGAGTAAGATCAAATTTTTTATTATTCATGCAAGTAGTAGCATGGAGTAGCAGTCAAATAACGAAGTTCATATGGCAGACTTCTATAGTAGTGCTATTTGATTATATTACAATCCAGTAAACACAAAGATCCTTGGGATGTCACATTCATAACTCGCTAAGTAACAATGCGAATCACAAGAAGGGACTCTTCATTTCACAAAACATCTGCAATATCTAGCACATTTCATAAGATTAGATACTTGAAATGTACGTGATTTTGTGAGGCTCCCCAACAACCAAGAGACTCACTAGAACCTCACATTCTTGTCAATTTTTGTAACAAACGGAATTAAGCAATTCTGATGTTGAATGAGGAATCCCTCAATACGTATTGTGAGTCTCATTTGACATCATAATGTGAATCACAAAATGACCAGAAGGGACTGGAATATGAGTCATTCTGATTTCAGTGGGACTCAATTCTGGGAATGACAGGGATGGATGTACCTATTAGATGGAACTAGTGTGGTTGGGGTTCCTGATCTCTCATCTATATGACATGGAATGCATGAAAATTATTTGAATCAGAGGTGCAGTTACAATGAATGTACAAATATTCTATGCTCATTCCAGGTGTTCTCAAGGAACGAAAGAACACAATAAGTTGCCATCTCGATGACGATTATTGATGAAGCATCTCGATGAAGATTATTGATGAAGCATGAGCATCTTGATGACGATTAGTGATGAAGTTTCGTGAACTCATTTCATCACTTACCGTGGAAAAATAAACAGACGTTGACCTCAAACTCCAACAGTTCCATCTGCTTCAATTAATCCAGATTACCTGCTATTTATTGAAAGCTCATCCCAATAGTTTCTTCAGAAGATGAGACGATCTTGAAAACATGAGATATCATTGAAAATGAGTAAGATTCCGGAAGCGAATTTGAAACCTCACTAGTCGATATGGACAACTCCATTGTCCATCTTTTTTGTAATTGTACCTAACCAGAGATAGAGAAGACTTTTTTCTGACTATTCGAGCTTCAAACGGACTAAAGACGCGCGGTGTATGTTTTTTGCTTTATCTGCTCCAATTGAGTCTCAACTTCCTGCTTCGATATATCCTCATTCCAGATATGGAATTATCCATCTGGTTTCGGTAGTTTGAATCATCACTCATCACCCAAGATTTCTCGATTCTTAGTTGACAGACCATAAGTACAATGGTGGGTGTGATTTTCAGAGAGATAGCAAAGTTATCAACAATATGGAGGTATAAACAGCAACTACCTTTTTATTCTTACCTTGCATGCTATCATTTCAATGAACTGCGAACAGAAATGTTTCATCACAGCAACTGAAGAATTTCCAGTTCGTACTCATATTAGGAAAACATCAATCAATCAACATAAACAATGATTATTTTGTTATGTATCCTGCTCTCATTGAACTGTATGTGGAGAAGTATAAACAAACTTTGTTCAAAATGGAACATTTTACAAAACGGTGGATCTTGACAGGAATACGAGGAATTTCTGGTAGATAGAAAAACAAATAATGATACATATCTCAGTTTGAATAAGCCTGTCAATGCGATGAGGGGCAATTTTTGCATACATTTTTTTAATGAAAATCAATTATATTGAGTGTATCAGATCTTTCAACACAGCCAATATCTCAGTTATATGCTGCATGCAGTTCAGGTTAGGATTGATTGTACATTACAAATCAACAAAAACATGTTCCGGTTGTAACTTGAACAATTGAAGTGGCAGGTGGCTTTTCAGGGAAAGTTGGATAGAACTTCAACACAAGAACTTCAAAGTAGTATTTGCATGACGAAAGTGTATTTTTATTCATTTTTCAAGCAGTGTAATTGAGATATTGGCTGTATGGAAAGATCAGGAACATGCAGCCGTATATATCTTGCCAATTTATTCCACCACTCTCCAAAGCTGACGGCACTTCGGCAATAACATCGCAGGAGAAATCAGATATTTTTGCAGAGATGTTTGCAGCAAACTCCATTTTAGAGTCCCAAGGAACAGTGCCGCCCGATATTCCACCCGTTGAAAGTCGAATGCTCGAAATCGTATGAGACTGACGGTCCTGATGGAATTCCACCCATTCTCTACAAAAAATGTGCACTAGAATTGGCACCTATTCTCTGCAAGTTATTTACCATCTCGTACAACGCGGGTATTTTCCATCTTGCTGAAATATAGCTAGAGTCCAATCACCAATAAATGGAAATTAAACCTTCCCAACAACTACAGGCCTATTGCCCTGTTATCAGTAATATCTAAAGTGATGGAGGAAGCCATCAACATTGAGCTTATCAAATATCTGGAAAGTACAGAAATGATAAACAATATGGCTTTCGCTACCGCAGATCAACTGGAGATCTACTTGCCTACGTCACGCATATATGGCAAGCGTCATTAGGAAAACATAGAGAATCTCTAGCTGTGGCGTTAGACATATCCTTCCTGTGATATCGAAAGTATTCGACCGTGTTTGGCACCAAGGACTCCTTTACAAACTGACATCATACGGCTTACTACCTATCAGCTAAGCCATCTCCTATCAAGTTTTCTTCCAGACAAATCACTGCTGGTGCTGCTGATGGAGGAAGGTGTATCAGCTTATACCATTGCCATCAATTCTGGCGTTTCACAAGGATCAATTTTGGCACCAACATTGTTCGTACTTTATATCAATGATCTGTTGGGAGCAACCACTTGCCTTATCCGCAGTTAAGCAGATGATAGTACTCTCCATACCGCGTTATTCTCTCCCAGCATTCCTATTACTTTCCAGGAGAGTAAGAACTCATGGCAAAGGCAGGTCATTGCTGTTAATGTAGAGCTCGTTATGAATCACCGCCTGGGGAACCAACGACCTCGCCGCGAAAACTCAAGCCTGTTTTTTCTCTAGACAGGTGGAACTCAGTATGGCTGATATAACAATGTCTGACACCAACATTCTCACCAAGTGTACTACAACATCTAACCAACAAGTCTTCGATAACGAAATCCACCACATTCATGTTCATCTACTCAATTCGTATTCGAAGAATTTCATTGATAGAACGATTCACCAAATTGAAAAACAAGTAAAGTACACCGAAACAAAAACAATCATCAATGTTTGGTGATGAGTTTCAAGTGAAGAATGTGTTCATAACTCAAAATACAATGAGATCCAATCTAATTCTAACAAAACCGAAAAATGAAAAACAATCATCAGAAGATTGTATTGATAGTACAGGTGAAACGAAGATACCTCTCTTAGTAGGGATCATGTAGGAATGAAACAACACAAATAAGATATTGAAATCATATTAAAGGAAGATAACAACCAAAAGGGTAAAATCAAGGAATCTGGTTGCATTCTTCTGAACGGACACAATAGCATTGCTTCCTGTTCAGCTGATATAGATAGATCATGGTATTCACTACTGAAAATTGAACATGGAAATGGTGGATTCACGATCAATTGATGAACACATTCTGTGACTCATTTGTATACCAACATCATCACTCATCAATATGTTAACATCAGTATGTCACTATAAGAACAGAACTTTGTAAGAAAAATATTTTGCATTATTATGTTGGGAACGGGATAAGTAAAAATTCGATATCTGTTCAATATATCTAAATTTCTTCTCTTCAAACATTTTTTCAAACAAAAGGTCACTGACAAGCTCTTGGATTGTTTTTTTAGGCTCCCTGATAGAACAATTTTTTGAACGCAGTGAAATTTTGGAGCAAATCATCTGATTTGTTGTACTCCACATATATTGAAATGATACTCATATTTTTATTTCATGGAAACGAGGGAAGAAAATCTCAAATTATCAGGTGAAATTAATGTACCACCTCCTTGATTATCCCACAGACACGAGCACAGACAGTATGTACCCGATGTTGGATTTTCACAGATTCTCATTCAGAATCGGAACATGATTATCGCACCCTGTACGTGCATTTCTCACTACTAAGCCATTAATACCACCATACCACCCACCATGTTTATGAGGCCTACAACAATGCATAAAATGTGATGAACCGATGAACCGAACCTTGATGTTCCTTTCGTGAAAGTTTCTTTAAGACTTGCGTAGTGAATTTTTATTTCGTTCTCTCTGAAGTCGGTTTATGGAAACGAGCGTCTGGATACCAGCTGGTTTGGGACTTTTAAGTTTATAAGTATTCATTTCAAAGGCTCGCCGACGAATTAAAGAAGTTGTTAAGAGGGGTTATGTAGTCAACTTTCAGAATTATTTCGAGCGTGCGGCAGGATGAAATGTATTAATTATTCCTTTTCTCTGATACCATTGGAGTGTGAGTATAAAAAAAAGGTGGAATGAACTCATTATCCATCAAACCATACACTATTGGCGAAGGCGACAGTGAATTATAAGTGAAACATGTGATATTGTGTGCTTTACTATACTTTTATGACGAGGAATTGAAACTATTTTTTTGCTTGATAAAAAATGTTTATGATTTATTTCGTGTTATGTATCCTCTTATTATGAAATGTGGGAGCGTCATAATGTTCCAGAACAATGTACCATGACTTCTCAGGGTGAACTAGATACCAAACTAAACTGATTGGAATCAACTCACCTCTCTACATAAATGCACATTTGGGCCGTGAGAGGGCGATGAAAAATAATTGTATTTAGAGATTTTCCTCAGAATCCTCATCGAATTCCTCACGTGTCAAAGATTCGATCGGTTTCGATCCCATCGATTTAAAAAGTTACAGTATTCAGTTGTTTGACAGACCAGGATATACAATTTCTACCGGTATAATAATCGAATTCACAAAGGAAATTATCATATGAACAAACAAGCATGTAACCGATAGTAAACGAGACATGTTTTTGAGATTTCTTAGTCTTGATCGTAGATTGCTCATCACACTTTTCTAACAGACACTTTAAATCAGCATAAATAACGCATGGAACCTTTTCGTTAATTTTGAAATTTTTTAATTTT